GAGGTAGTTTCTCTTTTAAGAAAAGGAAAGCAGGATAAACCTATAGAAACAAGAGAGGGAAGATAACGAAGTAGGACCTAATTACTAGTGCACCCTCCAATCTTTCCCTTATATATTTTTGGATTTTTGTTCGTTTAAATGATTGGATAGTTTCTTATTATGGTGCGAAAACGGTTTTCAACACAAAAGAGAAAGAAACAATATTTTAAAAGATAATGAACAAATGTGTTGGGTTTTTTTACGGCAGAGTAAAAGATTGCCAAAAGATAATAATTCTGTTTTTAAAAGGAGTTGTGAATGAACATAGAAAAACATACGAGTTGAGTTTTTTGTTGGGGGGGGGGGTTGGAGTTGTAACGTTTTACTGAGATTTTTACTGTTTCGTTTCTTGACATCTTCACTGCTCTGTGCCGTCGTGGTTGAGTTCTCCCAAATGATTCGCTTGCATCTCACTATGTTTTTGGTGAAGGTTTGAAACATAAAACTACTACGTGTGCAGTCACTTATTGCTTAAAAATGGGAATTCATTTATAATATTTTGGTTTTGTGTATAGCTCGCTTGAACTAACAATATTATTATGGATTTGTTTATAGCTCTCTTGAACGATCAATTTATATTGTCTCTACAAACCTTGATAGCAAAGTCTCGCAGTGAAGGAGTTAATAAGTCCCTAATCATAATTATATCTATTGCTAATGACTTTTGTGCTTCGTAAAGACAAGCATAATTGATTGGACATGAGGATATCGCTAAGGCGTCGCTATGTTTCAATGACACCCATTATGTACAAGGGCGTTGGTGTATGTGTGAGAGCCTGCTTGTTCTTTAGTATTTTCTTGTCGTTATGTGTGTGCATGCTTTCTGGTTTCAGTTGAATTCAGTGTTTGCCAATCAGAGTTATAAAGCCCATTAGTGGATCGTTTTATAATGTTGGTAGAGACAGTTCGTGTGAAATACTTCACTTGGAAATACGTGTAGGTTGGCAACATACAGTTTTAGCCTCTTACAGGTGGCAAAAGTGGGTCCTTCCAAAGGAAAAGTTGACTACGAACTCACTGGTCAAATTAAACAGATCTTTTGTTTTAGATGGGAAGGAAGTTTTGCACTTTCAAGGTATTCTTGCTAGTAAATCTAAATCTATTAAAATTCAAGTCAGAAACTTCTTCGGGGGCTTGGGGGGTTTTTTCCAACATGTTTAAAAGAGAATGTGTGGTCAAATGGCATCATGATACACAAGACAAACTTTTGCACCTTAATAAATCGTATTCTGTAACTACCATTTGAGTGTGCATTTCCATTTGAGCTTAACACAGTACAGTAACTGCCCTGCACAGAATAGTCCCTTACCCACCTATCATTTAGGTGATACAGACTATAGGTTAAAGCTAATATTTTGGGACACCCCCCCCCCCTCTCTCTCCTCATAAAAAAGCAAAAAAACAAAAATAAACTAAACAAAACAATGACAACACTAACAAAAATCTTAAATGCGTCTTTGGCATAAGACTTCACGACGAACTAAATGTGTCACCAGGGAGAGCGAACGCCCTGAATGTTTGCACTAGGTCAAGTAAGTTCCGACCAGAGGCCCAAGTTTGCTTTTTCCAACATTATCGAATGTACACAGAGATAGATCTTAAGGCCACTGAAACTTTGTATTTAAAGTAGAATTCTCAAAATCTCATTGACAGAACTCTGGAGAGAAAGACACACAGAGAAGTGCTCCAAATTGCACATTGTCAAAGGTTTTTCATCACGGCCATCAAAAAGATTATTTTGGTCAAAAGGACAAGAGAAACTGCTGCTGTGGGGAAAAATACAGGCGAAAGAAGAACAGAAGAAGACAGAGAGCAACATATTACACAGGTCGCCTGATAAACTTTGCAACAAATGTTACAATAAGAAAAAAAAACGAGTTGATCTGGATTACTGACAGCAGAATGAAAATGGAGGGTACCATTATTTCCCATGGCTGCTCCAGACCCGACACCTGAAGAAGAAAAAGAATCGATCGAAGGGACATAACCTTAAAACTTCCGTAATCACTTTTAATGTAAATATTTTACACCCCCGTAAACAAAATTTAGGTCATTTAGGAGGTGGGCTTCGCCCTTTCCTGTAAGGGATGAACCGAGCGGAGAAGGATACAACATCCCTGTTGAAAGACCGATATGCTCAATAGAAAGTCTTTCCATACGGGAATCGCACTTGGGTTTTCTGCGCGCTACGGCGAAGCGCGTAATCGGAACATCACAGACACCAGTTTCAGTTTTTACCTCTTTGAGCTCATGAATGAAAACATCTTAATTCATTATCATCAACATTTTCATCATTCATCATCATCATCATCATCATCATCATCATCATCATGATCATCATCATCGTCATCACCATCGTTTTATAAAGAAGGTAT